GGGGGACGATGACATGCAATAAACCAAGTCGTCAAGTGTGGTCACCAGATCGTTTGGTCACCTCCTCTAACCTGGAATACCCATGGGTGTATTTTCATATGCATATGTTTGTCTTTATTAAAATAGTTTTAGTTGTACTGAGCTGTTAGGAAATGAAATCCTTTAAAAAAAAGCAGGTGTTTAAAAATATTGATTAAAAAAAGTGTCACAAAAATAAATGCAAGAATTTTTTCAAACAAGCATATTTTCAATCAAACAATTTATTTATTATCTTTATTTTTTTCTTTTTGCAAAATTTAGGTCAGCCTTATGAAATAAGAATAAGAAATGCAATCTTTCACCAGTGTTAATCTTTCTTGTGAGGTACAACGGCTGAAGAGTGAGTATGGTTTTGCGCCGCTTTTAGCAATATTCCAGCAATATCACAGCGGGGAACCCCAGAAATGGGCTTCTCACATTGTACCAATGACGGGAATCGAACCCCGGTCTTTGGCGTGATGAGCGAACGCTTTAACCACTAGGCTACCCGACCGCCCCACAAGGGCTGAAGACATGATATTAGATCTTGTTGTGAGATAATCCTAGTTATCACATAATGGGTATGTTTCTCAACATATTATAAACCAACAGATCAAAACGGTAATCAATGGGGTGATTTACGGAGATATATGTAAATAAGAAAGGTCAGTTAGGTACTACTTTCAGTATTTACAAACAGAAATGGCGTCAATCGATGATCGAGTCAGAATTGACTGTCAGCTAGGGATCGGAACAAGTTACTGATTATTGGTATAAATATCAAAATAATACCTAGTCTGCTGAAACTCAGTGCTTAACAGGTGTGTAGCTGAGGCTTTTTACAACTGTAAGCAAACGGATGTAAATTGTAAGTTGCAAAGCAATTTAATGGGGACGCTCTAGGAGATAAGTTTCTTTTATCTGTGCTTCTAGGCCTCGGTGGCTTAAATTTTAAACAGATTTGCTCAAAATGTTCACCTAGTTACATTTTATCGTTGTATTTGACTGCATTCCATAACGTTATGACAGGCAGGGCAGACTCTAACAAACATGACGACTCATGAACTAGAGTAGCTTCCCTTTGATAAAGGACAAATATTCTAGTGGGCACACCAATGGATTGTCACGTAAGGAGATTATCGACAATGTTGTTTTGTTTATATGGTATTTATGCTACTGGGAAAGCAACTGATTTTAGTTGAACTTGAACTATGTTGACTGATAACCGACTTACTGTTTGTTTGTTTGTTTGTTGTTTAATGCCGTACTCAACAATATGACAGCAGTCAGTAAAATAATCGATTCTGGACCAGACAATCCAGTGATTGACATCATGAGCATGGATCCACACAATTGAGATCGATGACATGTGTAGCAGGGCGTGGAGTCATCCCACAGATGACATCCTTACCTTGTCAGCTTGCTGACGGGGTTAACCTCTTTGGTCATGTGGACAAGGCGCCCGACCTCGGAACAGAAGGTCCGTGGTTCGAATCCCATCATGGGACTCGGAAATTTTATGGCCGCTACACATGCATCAACAAAGTCAGTAAGCCTGACCACTCGATCCCGTTAGTTGCCTTTTACGGCAAGCATGGGTTGCTGAAGACCTATTCTACTCCGGATCGTCACGGGTCGACTGACTTACTGAATGACGTTGTGACGTAATATATTAATGTGCACATAACAGGAAAAGCTGCCACATTTAGGGTCTGTCAGAGATGAGAAGACATATTTGATGATAGAATGTTTATTCCTAATACAGGATATTTACCATCCCAAAACAAACTCGTGTGATAACCTCTATTTAGTTGGCTGTGTATTCTGTTGGTCATATGGGGCTGTCGTGTAGCCTAGTGGTTAAAGCATTCGCTCATCATGACAAAGACCCGAGTTCAATTCCCGACATGGGTCCAATGTGTGAAGCCCATTTCTGGTGTCCCCCGTCGTGATATTGCTGGAATATTGCTAAAAGCGGCGTAATATCAAACTCACTCACTCACACTGTTGGTCATACACTACACATGCCAATAGAACACATCATGACAGTCCATTGTAATCCTGTACGTTGACAGGTTACTGGAATACATGTTCAAGTAACAGACACAGTCATCACTAATGTCACTACAGTAGGTTAACAGGTTACTGGACTAAATATTGAAGGAATTGACACACTAATATCTTTTACCAAGATAGGCTGACAGGTTTACTGGATGAAAGAAAGTTGAAGTAATTAACACAATAATCACAAATATCTTTCACTAAGGCTTCAAAATCAGGGCACAGTTAGATTTAGTTTTTAAAAAATTGACTTTAGAAATAAACAACTGATAATGTCATAGAAGCTGTCATATCAATGAAGGCAGGATTGAGTTAATCCTGTCTTCAAAACTACACATGAAAGTTTTTGAATTGTTTTCTAAATGCAAGAAAATATGATACATAATGGTATTACATTGTATAGCTCTTGTATGAGCATCACAGAATGTGTGGTCTTCAGCAGCGAACACTGGCTGCATCCTTCAGTGTTCATTCCAGTATTTGTTCATTTTCTGGCTTTACAAAAACACTAAATTTAAGATGCAGAAGAAATACAATTCCCTGCCTCAGAATTAATTTTTTTCCAACTCACTTTTTACTACTTTGGGGGAAATGAGTTTTGAAGGTTTGGAGTGTTCTCATCAGTGCACCTCATACTATGTGACTTTAACCATGACACCATAATTATGTCGATGACGACACCATGTCAACAAAATATGACCCAAAATACTTTTAAATTGTTGAAACGAAGAGATTTCTTCATTTAGATAGAACACTATACCACAATGATTTTGATTTTTTTCTGATTCTTAAAATGTTTTATCTAAATTTGTATAGAAAACCCAATTGCCTATTCTGTAAGTCACACCATCAATGTGAATACCGTATTCGAAGTAATAAGCGCCGAGGGTGCTCTCAAAATTAGAAATAGGGGAACAAGACTTTCAGTTTATTGTCAAAAGTGTTATCTGAAACCCTAAAAAGTAAAGCATAACACATAAAAAATATTATGTTTTTGAAATAAAATAAAAATAAAATAAGAAAGAATGTCGACTGTTGCATCCACATTATATCACAATTGGAAGTACTGCAACAATAATCAGATGAAAGAGGGAAAATAGGAAATACATTAATTTGTATTTTTAGACAATTTGAAAAGTTATATCCATTATCATTAAGATGTGTACAATGTGCCCGGAGAGCGGAAGGTCCGGGGTTCGATCCCCGGCCGCATAATACCAAAAGACGTTAAAAGATGGTTCTTGTTGTTACCCTGTCTGGTGCTCGGCATTAAGGGACTAAAACAAGGACTGGTCGGCTTGGAGTCAGTATACTGTGTCTGAGTGGGGTATTCATGTTAAACTGCGGCATGGTATCTCAGTGTGCTAGCACTATAAATCGGCATCAGTCCGGACTAGTACAAGCAGACACACACGCACACGCACACGAACACACACGCACACACACGCACACACGTACATGCACGTCGCTATATAAGTGCAATAATCTTGGACGCGACGTTAAACCCCATTTCACCTCACCTCACTTGGGGAATTGGAGACAGCAGTATTTTTCAACTTAAAAAGTGGCCGAATTTCCAGCTTGATCTGACAAGAAATCACATTTTACATTGACAAAATACTCATATCTGAAAACAAACTTTCTCAAACCATGTGTTTAAATGTTACAGAACAATACAAAATTAAATTTGATTTTAGTCTTAGAATTTGTAATCCTGTAGAGACTAAACTTTACACACATAATCTATACACTTTCATAAAAACTAAAACTTGTCTGGCTTTGGACCTGATACATATATGATTAAAGTGGATAAAGGAGACCCTATATGCTCTCCTATGACATCACAGGAAAAACTGATCAAGTGATATAAAATAAGACATTTGATTGGTCAAGAAACTCAGAACACTTTAAGATTAAATCTTAGTGTCATTTTCTTGCAAGAACAAAATAATTCTGTAAATTGTGGCTTTCTCAAGCAAGTGAGAATAATTTTTGCGCAGTCATAAAGATAAGAACGTGCACTTTCCAACGATACCAAATAGTCAATTTGACCTAATTTTAACGATAGAACAGTATAATTCTAATGCCGCGAATTATTTTAAAAAATGTTGTTAAAGTCAATTAGAGGGTAATTGTTTTAAAATATCATGACAGATTAACTACAGTCATATGAAAATATTGGTGTTCTTAACTTTTTTAGTGGTATATAAAACATTTCAATAAAATGTTTTATTATTTATTCTAGTTCATTCCACAATGTTTATTGTAGTTAAGGTCATAAAACACATATCACAAATACTTACATTAAGTCTAGCATTCGAGAGATTACATGTCACGTCAATGCTGAAATATAATAGATATATAGCAAAATAATTCTTTCGTCATCTCCAGATTTATAAAAAGAAATTCATGTAGGAGGGTAAAATATATTTATTAAAAAACAGATGACAAAAGTAATCTCTTACATTCTGCCGATGCTTGAAGTTTCGTGGATCAGTTTTTTGTCAGCTCGCAAAACTTTGATGGAAATAATGTCATAAAATCGACGAGTGGTTTAAACACCATCTTCTAACAACATGGTCCTAGCTGTGTCATTTTTGTACCTTTGCTAAATTGACGTCAGACTCATTAGTAGAACAAGAAATAAATCTGTCCAACCTTATGTTGTAATTTAACCATGCAGAGCTAAACACGGAGCCATTCCCATAAGCCCCAATAAACCTCTTTGTATTACAAGCATTTTCTTTCATCAAGGCTACTAGCTTTTCTGCTGTTCATTGCCGTTGTCAATGTAGTGTATTAAGTAATAACGTGTAGTCACATTTTGTTTCCATCATGACGTAAAACATCAACACAGCATCACCCCTGGTGTCGGCAACCCTAACAACATCTGATTGGTTGGTTGTTGGTGAAGTGTTGGGGAATATAAGTTGTACGAGATGCATGTTTTCAGTACAGAAGTCAAACTGTCAAGCTGTTGTGTGTGTCCAGTTCAAGGCAGTTGGTGCATTTACTGTTGTTTTGTTTCAATCAGAACGGATTAATTTCCCTAGTACAGGTACTGTTTCTAACTATCCTATCTTCATGTTTTTCGAAATCAAATCATTTTTGTGTTGCTTCGTCGGTAGTGTTCTTGTGTGTTTGTTTCAGAAATACTTAAACGGGTTTATTCTAGGGATCTGTTCTTTCACTTAAATTTCTTGTAGTTAATACTGGGTGATAGATTTTGTCAGATGTTAATTTGTTGTTGTTTCTATTTTTTTTTTCATTTTGTACAGAAGTAGATGTTCTTCTTGTTTAAAGGGGGGGGGGGGGGGGGGGGGGGTAGCCTAGTGGTTAAAACGTAGCGTTCGCTCGTCACGCCGAAAACCCGAGTTCAATTCCCGACCTGGGTACAATGTGTGAAGCCCATTTCTGGTGTCCCCCACCGTGATATTGCTGGAATATTGCTAAAAGCGGCGTTAAACCATACTCACTTACTTGTTGAAAGGGAAGTTTAAACGTGTTTCTATGGTTTTTCAGAAATATATTACAAACTAACATTGCCCAGCTTGTCTTTGTCACAAACACCTGGTTTCATCACCAAGTTTCATTGATCTTTGTATACTTTTTCACCACGATTCGCCTTTCGCACCAAATGGAATCCGTTTCGGCAGATAAGCAACACTGACAATTCTCTGGTGTTGATTTCATTTATATTTGGCAGCAAATCATGTTTCTTAACACAGTAAGTAGTAAAAGCTTAATAATATAACATAAATTCATCAAATCAAAGAATTCTTCAGTGGAAACAAATTCAAAGGAATGAAATTTTTCAATTTGCTTTAAAGAATTCAAAAATTTAATCTTAACAAAAATCTCAAATATTCAATGATATTTAAGTCATTTCGAAGTAAGCTTGTGTGACATGAAAATTAAAACATGAAATGGATATATGTTGAGAAATCAGTTGCAGAAGCTGTGAGATTTGTTTCTTTGATTTTAGAATAACATCTTAGATTACCATCAGCCAGATTATTACCAATGTGGTTCTCTTCCAATTAGTTTCCTGAATTTACAGCTTCACCATCTGGATAATAGACATCCCTCCATTAATTAGAACATAATTAGCTGTCAAGACAACAGTATATCATAAACAATGCAATTGAATAGATTCTTAGTGGGTTCTCAGGGTTTGACAGTTCTGGAATGAATGGGTTGTGAGCGATGTCCTTGACATTTTCCAGTTATTGATCTTTATGTTTGCACACATAAAAATTAATGATTGTGATCAAGAGGTGATTATAAAGCTGAACATTAAAAATACCTTAACTTTCATAAAATATTTTTCTGGATGTATAATTTTAAATATTCCTCATAATTAACTTTTCTACTAGAAATGTGTATTCCATCAGTATGCCCCTGAAAGCCTTTGTATAGAAAATACTACTTTCCTTAGAACTAACAAATAATCAATGTGTCTTTTAGATTGCTTTGTATCTGATCTTTCCTTCAGATAAAACATTTTAAATTATCATCCATCATATATGGATGTCTTTGCTGCCTTGCTTACGCTTTTTTTCATTTCCAGTGATCCATTCATATAATATTCACCACTATTTTGCCTTTCATGCCAAAAGGAATCTGTTTCGGCATATAAACAAGACTCATTATTCTTTGGTGTTAATGTTTGATCTTATATTGAATATATACTCAAACACAAGCATATTGTCTATATGGCTTTATATACACAACAGATCACTTGTCAAGAAGGGAAGCTATTTTGATCTTGTTAGCATAGTGAGGTCCAGTAGGAAGTCACACCTCAAAGTTCCTTCCCTCTCAAACTGTAGCACAAGTTCAATTGTGAATGGATATTTGATAACCAGACATGTCACCACAACTTGTATAAAAAACACAGAAATTGCAAGGCTCAAATTTGAAATGTACTAAATATTATATATATTTTAAAATATTTAGAAGGCCTGTTTGGTCTATCTTCAGTCAAGTTAGACATTATCAAACTTTCAAGAAAAGAAGAGGTTTGAGCTGTGTGCTTCTAAAGAGTCTAATATCATCAATAAGAACTTGAAACACAATTAGTCATGTGTTTGAGTGTATTTCTTGTTCCTAAGTTAGCTTCAGGTTCCCATGGCTTGTTTGCAGTCTTAAGGAGATCAGTTTCTGTTGTAAAATACTATTACTACTACTTCCCTTAAGACTAACCAAGTAATTGGCTGTCTATCCTGCCTTAAATGTGTTACACGATCCTTAAGTGGGCTTGACATTCTCAAACACTTGTTACTATCACCCAAAGGAGATTAGTTTGATAATAAGAGGATTTATCAAATAATGTTTTCAACATGGCTGAAAGCTATGTGATTAATTCAGTCACTGATATGATTCTAACTGCCTGATGTGATTTGTGAAAGCCAGTGGAATAAGTTAGTAGTTGTTTTTCTCTTCTGTTACAACCCTAACACTCTATTTCAAATTTACAATTTAATATTTTTCAGCGAGTGCTCGAAAAAAAATCACCCCTGCTCATCCATTTGATTTTTGGGTCATCCCTTCTCAAATCATTATCCACTTTAGCCATGATATTCAACAGTTTCTTTTGCAGGTTTTCTTTTTTTAATTTATTTTATCAATATTACATTTGTAAAATATTTCTATGTTAAAATTTGATTTGATTGATATAATAAGATTTTATTTTTGTCAAAGTTTAATGTCTCTTTTAAAATTACACCCTACCATCAAAGCCACAGAATGAATGGTCCCTATATAGAACCATGTAACAATAATTTTTGTGACATTGATGGCTGTGGTTTAAGAATATGTATAATAATACTTCATATGAAGATCCTGAAAGTCTACATGTTTCATATCATAGACATAAGACATGTAGAATATTTGGAAAAAATATGCCATCATTCTCAAGCAGTGATATTTGAGCTACCCTCCAACTTTTAGATGTTTCATATTTTTGAACATCTTCCCGAGGCAAGAGAGTTAACTGACTATGAAAGTCCAATTTCCACCCTTGCCGAACTAGGCTGGAATTCCTGGGCTCGACCGTAGCGCCACCAGTGGCTAATATGAGTTATGTCCCTTCTAAGGCTCTCCTATGGACCAATCAGATTCCACCTCTTGTATCACTTGCATTTGTTTCAAACAAAATGGGGGCGCCAAGTCAGGACGATCTGATCGATAATCAAGATCTATATTGTGATAAAATGGGTCTTACATCGCGAAATGCATCAAATCACGTGAGCACCTTGATTAATAACATGAAAAGATTTGGAAAATATCTGTTGACATTGAGTTGATGGTGCACATGCTTTTCAAATCCTGCAATCTGCTGAAATCTGCACGACAGTTTACGAACTGGATTTCAATTTCGTTGCACGATTTTCATTGGACTATGCATAGACTTGTTAGTCCAGCCAAAATGTAACTCCAAAATACCAGCCTAGTTTGGCAAGGTCGGAAACCGGACTTTTACAGTCAGCTGACTCTCTTGCCTCGGGAAGATGATTTTTCAAAAGGTCAGTGATACATTTAACAGTAAAGAATGGATGGTTGTTCTTTACAAATATCTTACAATCAAAGCAGCTTGAATGTTCAATAACATTTAAACCAATGGCTGTCAGTAAACAAAAAGTTTTTCCGATATGGAAAAACAAAAACATCAAAGAAAGCAAAATACCCATTCTCTTTGGGGTATATCTTTGAAGTTTTCAACAAAATACAACTTTAGTCTGTTTAAAATCATTTCAATTTTCAGTCCATAAATATCAACACAACACACTCCTAAAACCGGGGCCCAAATGCGCACTTAAACAATTCTCCATTGTGTGTGCCACCAATTCAGTAACACATTTCGTCTTAGCCAAGCAACGAAGGACATTCACCAACAGTAACATAGGTAAAGTTACTGGGAATATCCCATTTGCATAAACCCTTGTGAATTAAGATTGTTTTCCCAATGCCAAACCATGACCCTGAAGGTAAACGTTATTGGATTATTCTGGAGGAAGGAAGGTATTGTTTTCATGAGTCTTGGTGCTGTAGGGCTAAAATATTCCCTAAAATATGTTTCCATTCAGCGGAGTAGCCGATATTGTTTATGAAGATGCAGAATGAAAAAAGTGAAAAGCGATGATACATAATTGTTTGCTTTAAATGTCCAAATATTTTTAAAAGTATCCATGATTAAACATAAACACATCCATAATAATTTTTAATTGAAAGAATATGATTTAACAAAATATACATTAGGATGTATATAGATATAATAACATATTAATGGAGAATACACAAAATGAATGATCAGATATGATAGATGATTGATGGTTTATAAATAGCTTATTAGAAGTAATCTCTTCAAAGCCATAAGACTTGTTTCTAAGTCACTCTAACCTTGTAGAAGATTAGATTAATCTGTTTTTATATGGGGGGCACAGGTGGCCCAGTCGTCGCCGTGATTCGCTGTGCAGAGTTGTAACCCTTGCGCAAGCCAGAAACCTATGATTGTGGGTTCGAATCCCGGTTCGCCCCGATTATATTTCTAGGTTTGTCAGCACCATACCCGTGCTCGTGGGTTTCACCGAAGTGGTAAACGTCTGAGACCTCCATCACTTTGGGCTTTCCTCCCACATTAAGCTGACGCGCCGTGATATAACTGGAATACTGTTAAAAGCGCCGTTAAACCCAACTCACTCACTCACTCACTGTTTTTATGTGATTTAATGTTTCTGGGGCACGCTCTTCTCAAACTTATGGTGAGAACTTCTTTTCTTACAGAGAATGAAAGTAACGACATGAACTAATGAGGTTCATGTTTCCATTGTTTTCTGCAACTAAACACAGCAGGTCTGGTAAACTTTCTGAACCCTTTGAACATTAGCAGTAATGAAAACTCTAATTGTCTACATATATATATTTTTATATGGCAAAATATATTTAATGTGGTTCATGCAGCATGTACTTAGAAGCCACATAAGAATATTTAAACCATAATCTCTAAGACCAGTACCGTTATAATATCTTAAATCAGAAACTCTCAGAACTGCTGTTACTTCTCGTTATTTATTCATTTAACAGACTTTTCTCCATGTACATATACAATCAGTTGTCAAAATACATATGCATATAACATCTAAAAACACTTCAGAGTATTGTCAATTGGTTTAAATATAAAAATAATGACAGTTTGAATTTTTAGGAAAAAGAAATTTGGCTCCATTTCCACATTGATCTACTTTGATTTTATTTATGTGAATCTTTGATTTTTATAAGTTAACATACACAACGGGAAGAAAAAATGAATACACCCTGCCATTTAAAAAATAGTCAAGTAAGACTGCTTTTTAAATGCCATTTAGAAAGTGGTCAAAAAAGAAGAGGGAACAAAAAATGATTTTTTAAAATATTTTGATAAAATCAAAAATAAACTCCTAACTGTCAACAACTACTGTGTCATACTGACATGAAGACAATTATTTCCCCTAATATCCCCTCAACATAGAGGAGGTCTAGTACACCATGCAATAGTTTACATGGATGATAAACTCGTTACTGACTATTATACCTCTAATTACTACATTAAAAAAACCAACAATGTGTAGCCAAGAGGGATTAGTAAGTCATAATCCACTTAAACAGATTTGTAACCATAGAGATTAGCCATCAGTGAGCATGTGCTAACTATGGCTGTATCCATGGCCCTCCAGGGATCGGTGTGTAATTCTGTGCTGTAATCTATATAGGCAGTGGGTAATAGGAACATTGATTTCAAGGCTATCATTTGTCCAGGTAGGTCGGGCAGGGCGGGTCTCTCGAGATTGATATGTTAGCAGGAATAGCTACATTAGTGACTGATGGGAACGTACTAAACTGTGGGCAAAGGAAGTGTACACCCATGTTTGGTGGTGGCTAAACATGTAATGGTTATTCCATGGTGATGTATTTGATACAGGTATGTTAGTTAGGTTTTGGACCTTAAGTTTTGCAGTGATAACGTTTGTAATTTTTCACATCCAACTTCTAAGTGTATATTTCCTTTTGCCTGGCAGTTTAGGTACAGGTTTTTGGGCTTGTTTGATGTTTTGTATTTCAGATACCGTATGTAATATACTTGAAGGTATTGTATTGTATTTGTGTTTTTACATGCATTTTGATTGCAGGTTGTGGTTGTGAAAGTTGTTATTTGGATAAGTTGGGTTAACTTTTTTTTTAAATCTTCTTCAAGTGGCATTTATTTTTGAAATTGTTGATTTACCTTATGGAGGTAAAGATTGTTATTGGGTTTGGGTTTTTTGGTGTTTTTAGAGATTCATGTAAACTTTTATTATTGTAAAAAATTATGTATGCTATTTTACAAACTATAGTGTGTTATGAAAAAATATATTCAATTTGTTTCCGAAAATATACTTATGTATTTTGTTTCATTTGATTTCCTATTTTTAGCATGATCACTAAAATGAAATCTTTAGTTTGCAACTTTGCGTAGTGTAAAATGATAAGTGAACATGTTTTTTGCAATGTAGACTGAAAGCCGCTCCAGGATAAGTCAATTGCTCAGTTTGAAGGACATAAAATCAATAAACAAACAAAGCCATATCACTAACAGGTCAAGGGACGTTTGCTGTCGTTGGGAAGAATTGTTTGTTTTTAATAACAAGTTTAATTCAAGATAAGGTTCAATTTTTAATGTGTTCTGTCAAACTGATAATGTTTTATACGTTTTATAATTTTACCATATATAATATAAAATTGAAGTGTAAATTCAGATGTTTTTAAATAAGTTTACAGAACATACACAATGTTAAATATTACATATACTCAAACCTTAAGAATTTAGATCAAACAACGGTAAAAAAATGGTAATTACCTGTAAACGGGAACGCTGTCATGTAGAGCAGAATAGGAAAAAACAATGAAACTATACAATTTGATGAGCAAGCACAGTAAAACAGATATACATCTTTTTTTATCACAGATGTATTGAGGGGGGATCCTGTAGTTTGGAAAACATTTACAGTAGGATTTGTTTTGATAATGAAAGCAGTTAGGTGCAATGGGGTTTAACGTCATGTTCAACATTGTTGCTTGTGCATGCATGTGTATGTGTGTGGCTGCTTGTACTTGGCCTGACTACTCCACATTTTATCGTGCCAACCCACTGATATACCATGTCACATTTTTAACGTGAATACCCGACTCAGACACAGTATTCTGACTCCGAGCCAACCAGTCCTTGTTTCAGCCATTAAATACCAAGCACCAGGCAGGGTAACAACAAGTACCATCTTTTAGCAATTTTTGGCACGGTGCAGCCAGGGATCGAACACACACCCTTCCCCTCCCCGGGCAGCTGGGGCAGTCCGGGCAGTCCACTAGTCCATGGAGGCGGTTAAAAGAAAAAGAAATATTTCCAACTCTTTACTGTCCCCAAGTACCTACCCATGAGGAAAATGTGTTTCCTTTTTTTCATTTGATGTAAATCACCATATACCTAGTCCTACCAAACATTCATGCTTCATTTGAATGACATCCATTGAACAGTTTGTATAAAAATAAACATTTTTTTAAATAAAATGCCTCCTGCTATTTATAAGATTTGGATGAAAATCTAATTTATTGTGGCCTGATCATCCAATTTCTCAGGTGAAATTATTCATAACAAGTAGTAAGGTAACATGTAGCTAAAGGCTGTATGCCTTGATAAAGGTAACCAGTGTCACAAACACATATAACGTATACTCTGGAGAAGTGATGATATTGCCATGGTTACCATTGTTGTGGGTGGGGTCAGAAGTTGAGTAAATAGGCTAATTCGTGACTGGAAACTATCCAGTGGTGTCCTACTTCTTATGTAATACAGATGTACAAACGATCACATACTGTTAGGAGATTAGTGCCTCTGAGATTATATGTCTACAATGTTTCCATAGCTACTCATGTTGCCATTGGCCCTGTAGGAATTTTGTGTAATTATTGGTGTGCAGTAACCTATGCTAGTTGTATTCCCATGGGGATTTTTGGTTAGAACAGGCCCTGAGCAACCTGTGCTAGTTGAAAGAAGAGACCAAATGGATTGTTTGTTTGTTTGTTTGTTTGTTTGTTTGTTTGTTTGTTTGTTTGTTGTTTAAACTCAGCAGTATTCCATAAAATATGACAGTGGTCTGTAAATAATCAAGTCTGCACCAGACAATCCAGTGATTGATGTCATGTGCGTTGATCCACGCAATTGGGATGTGATGACATGCATCAACCATGTCAGTGAGTCTGACCACCCAATCCCATAAGTCGCCTCTTACGACAAGCATAGGTTGCTGAAGACCTATTCTGCCCCGGATCTTCACGGGTCCCAAATGGACAGGTACTTTGAGTTTGCCGATTGCGTTTCATCATACCCAACAACATGGATGGTTGCTCACAATGTCAATCACTGGATTGTCTTGTCCAGACTCAATTACTTACAAACCGCCGTCATATAGCTGGAATATTGCTGAGTGGGGTGTTAAACAACAAAAAAACAAAGTCAGAAGAGTGAGGCATTAAACAAAATAGGTGGCCACTTATATGGGACTTAATAAGGATCTGGCAAACTGGCCGGGGCACGGGTGGCCCAGTCGTCTGTGCGTCTGTGCAGAGTTGTGTCCCTTGGGCACGCCAGAAACCTATGATTGTGGGTTCGAATCCCGGTTCGCCCCGATTATGTTTCTAGGTTTGTCAGCACCATGCCAATGCTCGTGGGTTTCACCGAAGTGGTAAATGTCTGAGACCTCCATCACTTGGGGCTTTCCTCCCACATTAAGCTGACACGCCGCGATATAACTGGAATACTGTTAAAAGCAGCGTTAAACCCAACTCACTCACTCACTCACTCACTGGCAAACCGTCAGTCTGAGCAAGATTGCTTCAAGTCTCTGAGCACCACAGGGTATATCAGCCTATTCAAATGATATGATGTACATCAGATCACCGGTAAATGATCACCCTAAGTATGCAGAGACACTGTCTCTGTCTCACACACAGCACTAATTACAATGTCCAAATCAAGGTAAAACATTGACCAAAAGGATGGGCAATCTCAGAAAAGTAATTGCGAAATCTTGAATATACTCCCCAGAAGGAAAGTGAAATTTGAATTTGATCATCTGTCCTTTCCTAAAATAAACTAAAATAACAAGAAGAATATATATATTTTTTTGAAATAGGTAATGATCTGAGTTGTCTTTTCCACGATTCCAGTGGAAAAGCCTACTTAAATAGGTAACCTCCTAGGTTCCACAGAAGTATCTCACTTGTACTTAATAGGGAATTGCAGTCAAGACCTGACTGTATGGCATGACCTGATTGATTGTGACTCTTGTACCCCAAACACTGTGCTGCTCACACCATAGAAAATTACCGTATTTGACGTAATAAGCACCCCATTCTAATAAGCGCCCACGGCGACATTTGCTTAGATATTGGCTACTGAACAATCCCAATTAGCACCCCTTCCGATTGATCAATGTACACAAGACTTATTTTATCGCGTATAGTACGCACTCGTGTGTTATATGCACCCTTAATTATGGGCATTTAATTCTGGAAAATTATATCTGTCGTACATAAACATTTAAGGCTGTCAGCATAAACCACGAAATTTATCTTTCAACTCTGTTTTTTTCACCAAAATAACATTCTAATAAGAGCCCCCTATTTCTAATTTTGAGAGCGCCCTCGGCGCTTATTACGTCGAATACGGTAGTTTGTCTTGTAGACATTTGTTACTGACAATGAGGAAAGTAGGAAAAGTCAAAGTCAGAGAATAAACATCACGATCATCTCCGAAACAAGATTTCATTGGGCGTAAGGCAAAATAGGGGTGAAAACACTCGTAGAAAAAGAGGTAATGAAAGATCATATTCCACTTCACTTATTTACCTGTCTCCATGTTTTCCTTTTTATTTTTGTGTGTTTCATTTATATTTTGTTGCTTTTCCTAATGTCTTATTGTGTATTCTTTATCTTCAGAAGTTCTATTTGTGTTCTAAAACAACCACAAGACAAGCAGAATGACCAAGGAAGGTGAAGAAACTGTTGTTGAGCAAGTTGCTGCAGTCCCAGAGGGTGATGACGTCAAGACAGCCGACCCTGTGACTGAAGAGAAAACTACTGATGGCACAGCTGCAGGAGAGACAACTGCTGATGACACAGCTACAGGGGAGACAACTGCTGATGACACAGCTACAGGGGAGACAACTGCTGAGGCTCAGAATGATGAGACAGCAGCAGCAGCAGAGGAAAAAACAGCTGATTCAGGCGGGGACGAGAAGCCAGCTGAGGCCACAGAAACAAAAGCAGAGGTAAACAATGAGTGAGTGAGTGAGTATGGTTTTACGCCGCTTTTAGCAATATTCAAGCAATATCACGGCGGGGGACACCAGACATGGGCTTCACACATTGTACCCATGTCGGGAATCGAACCCGGGTCTTCTGCGTGACGAGCGAACGCTTTAACCACTAGGCTACCCGACCGCCCCAGGTAAACAATGACTTTTTGAAGTGGCATTACAAGTTGGTATGATGCACAAGGGAGACAACTTCTTTGTTGCAATGAATACGACATTCCGGTGTAGATACCAACACCGTTATCATTACATGCTTCATAACGGTGTTAGTTACTACACTGAAACTTTGCATTCATTGTAATAAAGAAGTTGCTTGTGGGTTTCACCGAAGTGGTAAACGTCTGAGACCTGCATCACTTCGGGTTTTCCTCCCACATTAAGCTGACACGCTGTGATATAATGCTGTTAAAAGCGGCGTTAAACCCAACTCACTCACTCACTTCTAATCACATTGACTTTGATGTTTACTGTGAGGAATATTGAATTGTTCCCATAATTTAGTTGCTTTACTATTCATTTTCATTGTCGTATTATTGAATGATGTTTCTGTTTTGAAAAGAAAATGATATATCTGTTTCTTTCTCATATTTCTATGACCTGTTTGCTTTTCAGGAAGCACCTGCACCAGCTGAGGAGAGTTCAGGCCAAGGAGACAGTACACCAGCTGCAGAATCCACGGAGACAAAAGAAGAGTCTGCCACTGACTGTACTGATGGTGAGAAAACAGAAGAAACACCAGCTACCACAGAAGAAAAATCAGAGGAGACACCTGCTGTTACGGAAGAGACACCAGCTGCTACCGACGAAGCACCAGCTGCAGCAGAAGAAAAATCAGAAGAAACACCAGCTGCAACAGAAGAAACACCAGCAACAACAGAAGAAACACCAGCTGCAACAGAAGAAACACCAGCTGCAACAGAAGAAACACCAGCAACAACAGAAGAGACACCAGCATCAACAGAAGAGACACCCGCTGCTACTGAAGAGACACCAGCTGCAACAGAGACGACTGAAGAAACACCAGCAGCTGAAGAGACAAAAGAGTCATCAGGGGAGACAACAGCTGAAAGTCAGGGAGAACCTACAGAAAAGGCAGCTGAAGAGACCACAGCAAATGAGGCATCAACCGAAGTTGCTGAAATAACAGAGAAGCCAACAGAAGATGCAACAGAAGCAGCTGTAACCGAAACAGTAGCAGCTGCTGCATCTGCCCCTGCAGTAGAAACATCAGGGGAGGCTGACTGTAAAGAAGACCAGGAACAGATCACAGAGTCGTCACTGACAAACCCAGATGCTGAGAAAGAAGCATTCCAGGAACTTGTGGACAAGAATGCTGAACTTAAACATGACGCTAGCTCTGCTAGTGAGGCACAGGGGACTCTGACAAAGTCCTTGGATGAGAAGGAGATGGAGATTGAGAAGCTTAAGGCACAGCTGCAGAAGGAACAAGAAGAGAAGCAACAGCTGAAGTCTCAAGTGGAAACACTGAAGGAGTTTGAGGAATGGGGAGAAAATAACGGCGAGAAAATGAAGGAAACTCAGAAAAAACTTGTCACATTTGCAAACGATAATGAAGAAAAAGATAAGAAAATTGTCTACCTGGACAAGGAGCTTGCAATGACCAACTCAAAGCTGAAGGCAGCAGAGGAACAAGTTAATGCTAAAGGTAACGAAGGAAAGGCCCCCCAGTCCAGGACCTGTGCTGTTATGTAACCTCACTACAGGATGAAAACGTTTCTGATGCTAATAAGGATTCAGGGCATCCTGTGAGTAAGAGCTTACACTCCAGGAGGAACTATCATATTTATTCCATTATTTATGAACCGAAAATCAATTTTGGGGGGTTAGAACTTACACTTCAAGAGGAACTATCATATTTATTCCATTATTTATGAACCGAAAAATATTTCCTTTCTTTCTTGACTGTTCTGTTCTTGAAGAAGGTTGAACTGACTATTTCTGTTGTCCATCATGGCCAAGCAGAACATTGCTGTGATACCGTCCATGGTCTGTGATGTGTGATGTGTCTGTTGACACGAACATTCATCAAGAAGTGACTGACTGACAGTATTGTGAAGAGTTCTTCGTTACATCTCACCACTGTTGTACCATTGTAAGGAACAGAAGTAAAAGTCAGTATTGTTTCATCTTCTCATTGTTTCAGTATTTGTTATGCTTTCTGTCACGGCTGAAATTCCCACTCTTGTGTATATTCAATCTCATTAAAATCAGGGGGCACGGGTGGCCCAGTCGTCTAAGGTGCTGCGATTCGCTGTGCAGAGTTGTGTCCCTTGGGCACACCGGAAACCTATGATTGTGGGTTCGAATCCCGGTTCGCCCCAATTATGTTTCTAGGTTTGTCAGCACCTTACCCATGCTTGTGGGTTTCACCGAAGTGGTAAACATCTGAGACCTGCATCACTTCGGGCTTTCCTCCCACATTAAGCTGACATGCCATGATATTACTGGAATACTGTTAAAAGCGGCGTTAAACCCAACTCACTCACTCACTCACTCACTCATTAAAATCAGATCTTAGTTCTCACTACCACTAAACAAAGATCTGAGGACATCCCACGTCAGAACAACCTTTCATCCGACCAATCACAGCATCGCTTACAGGTTTCAAATTTTTTATCGAGAATTTGTCAAATTATGTTTCGAAGCGTTGTCGCCAATTTGTAATTAGTGCCGTAAAGCACGAGAAAGCTGCCTTCTGATTGGCTAATGTCGACTTCTTGTCAGTCATTCCATTGGTCAGTTAAAGTTTGCGAAAGGTCGGTCTAACGGACCCGTAATGGGATGTCCTCAGATCTTTGATTAGCGGTAGCGAGAACTAAGATCTGATTTGGTGTGTATTCATCCTAAACTAAACAGACTTAGAAGAATGTGATTTGATGTTTGACTTCACTGAATACTGAATAGCAGAATAGTTTAAAAATAACATACAAAATGAATATGTTATTAACTGCACACAATTCAGTTATACAGTTGGGGTCAATCATTCATGTACTGGTTTTGCTTCCAAGAGATTGAAAGTTGTATATATTAAAAGGAATTTTGAATAAAATTAATGAAATAAGTTACATACATAAGTCCAGATATACAAAGAACGCTTTTTGTAGCCAGACAGTGTAATTACATGATGATTTTGCGTACTTCAGTATGGATTTGTTGACATGGTATTTCCGGTGTTATGTGCTCACGGTAATATCTTTCCATGGGGAAAAAACCATCAAAACTCATTATTTCGTGTATAATGCGCACCCCCTTCTATACACAGCTGTGTTTTTCGGAAAAAAGTGCGCACTTTACTCAAGAAAATACTGTAACTGTTCCATATGTTCTTGTGAAGGTTTCCATCTTCGTAGGATGATGAAATTTCTTTATAAGTAAACCAGTAATTGAAAAACAAATTTAGGAAAAAAAATTCACTCTTTTGCCAAAAAAACAAAATGAAGCAACTTTTGGGGAAACAAAAAGTTCTTAACTTGAAGAGTTCGATTTTCATCAAAGTCATCTAATCATTAGATTTCTTTCCGTATTGTCGCTAGGTTTTGGAACCTCTGCTCGTATCATTAGTAGGTGATTATATGGTTACAATAGGTGTACAGACACATTCAAACTACAGAGTACAGTCCTGTGATGCTTGTGTTCCAAGGGCACACGAGGATGGATGTTGGTGATTAATAAGCTACTGGTGTCGCTGATGTGTTTATCGTCCATTGGTGAAACAGAGAACAGCATCCTGACACCTGTTGCTATATATATGATGTGACTTGAAAGCATATAACAAGGATTTATATCTCATATTGAAATAAACTATTAAAAAAAAGTTAAGGACCACCTGATTTTTTCATATTATTATAGTCAATCAGTCATGGCCTAACAGACTAACTACAGTAATATGAAAGAATCAGGTGATCCTTAACTTCTTTTGAGTAGTAGTATATATATATATATATATATATATATATATATATATATATATATATATATATATATATACTACTCAACTCGTGACAGGGATAGTCATTCTTTTTAAATATGTACTTGGCATATGAGAATCCGTTCTGTGTATCATGGAGAGAGAGAAGAAATATCCCTATCACAAGTGGAGAAGTATGTACCGTATTCGACGTAATAAGCGCTCAGGGCGCTCTCAAAATTTGAAATAGGGGGCTCTTATTAGAATGTTATTTTGGTGAAAAAAACAGAGTTAAAAGATAAATTTTGTGGTTTATGCTGACAGCCTGAAATGGTTATGTACCACAGATATATTTTTCCAGAATTAAATGCCCATAATTAAGGGTGCATATAACACACGAGTGCGTATTATACGCGAATAAATAAGTCTTGTGTACATTGATCAATCGGAAGGGGTGCTAATTGGGATTGTTCACTAGCCGACATCTTAGCAAATGTTGCCGTGGGCGCTTATTAGAGCGGGGTGCTTATTACGTCGAATACGGTACTTAACTACTGTGAAACATGCCCTGAGACACGTTTGAGAGCTACTAGTTTTGAAGTATTAAACACTGACTGCAATAGAATAGGACCAATGTATATTGACATGATAATAATTCATGGACACCTTATTATACTGTCACTTTGTATTCTGATCAATGCAACGACCCACTACACGATTATCATATTTACATGTATAAATACCGTTTGCAATGGAAATACTTGTCATCCCTTGGTGTGCAGTCTCACTTAAATCACTGAACAGGGGCGGTCGGGTAGCCTAGTGGCTAAAGCGTTCGCTCGTCACGCCGATGACCTGGGTTCAATTCCTGACATGGGTACAATGTGTGAAGCCCATTTCTGGTGTCCCCCGCCGTGATATTGCTAGAATATTGCTAAAAGCGGCGTAAAACCAAACTCACTCACTAAATCACTGAACAAATATTGTTTGAAGTCTTTTCACAATCACATAACAAGGGCTGGCTGTTGTAATCCACTAAAACATTGTCTGAAATTATTGAATTCAAACAATAGCAAACTTTTTTTTCGATTTTTCATTACATCTGTATATCATATATTTTTAATCCCACAGAGCTTCCAAATCTGAAAAAAACCCATTCAAATAACAGATGTTGATCCTAAATATTTTGGGTGACATTCAATCATGGATGACTTTCTATCAATCCAAGATCAGGGCTTTGTTTCTCAAAGCAATTTTAGCAGTATGACCATCATTAGCAACTGTTAAGGCACGGGGGTTACCATTGTCTAAGCGCTAAGATGGCTTTATGGACCTTAGGGGTAGCCAAAATGTCAGTGTAACCATGGTAACTGTACATTTTGATGTGAAACGTTACATGAAAATTTACCTTTATGGATTTTTATTTGGCGGAGCCAAATGGCTAAAATGTGACAGGCAGATCTTAAAACAAGCAATTAACTTGGATGTGAACATAGCAAGGTCCTTTTAATTATATACTACTCAAAAGAAGTTAAAGAACACCTGATTCTTTCAAAGCAATATATCATGTCACACATGCTATGACTGATTAACTATAGTAATATGTAAAAATCGGGTGTTCTTTCACTTTATTTTTGTAGTAAACTTGATGTACCCAATTGTGATGTGAAGTTGTTGTTTCCCATCTTCCCGAGGCAAGAGCGTTAACTGACTTTACAAGTCCAGTTTCCACCCTTGCCGAACTAGGCTGGAACTCCTGGGCTTGATCGTAGCGCCACCAGTGGCTATTACGAGTTATGTCCATTCTATGCCTCTCCCATATGGACCAATCAGATTCCACCTCTCATATCACAAGCATTTGCTTCAAACAAAATGGTGGCGCCCAGTCAAGACAATCTGATCGACCATCAAGATCTATTTTGTGATAAAACGGTTCCTACTTTGTGAAGTACATCAAATCACGTGAGCACCTTGATTAAAAACATGAAAAGATTTGGAAAATATCCGTTGGCAACGAGTTTGCGATGCACATGCTTTGCAAATCCTGCAATCGACCAAACTATGCATGACAGTTTACGAACAGGATTTCGATTTTGGTGCGCGATTTTGATTGGACTATGCATAGACTCGTTAGTCCAGCCAAATTGTTGCTCCATAATCCTAGCCTAGTTCGGCAAGGGTGGAAACTGGACAATAATTGCCTCAGGAAGATGTTGTCTATATGTTGAACAATCTCACTTTAATACTCACTGTTGGGACAGACTGGCATCTGACTATCTCCTTTTATTTGTAAATCGACATTATTTTCTTGTGTGTTTATACTTTTTAGCATTAGATATATCTGTGATAATGTATGGTTAGAATGATCCATATTGGATTTTGCAGGGAAAGTTCCCATGAAATACCATGTCTATTGTGTAACAAAATCTGTTTGTTGATTGTTGAAAAGTGAAATTGTGATATGAAGTCATTTATAATTTATTTACCTTGTCACAGTTATAACCCTGTATTGGTTATGGTGTCTTACCTGTTTACTGTTAACGTCTTGTTGAATAAACATGTACAGCTATACCAGGTTTTGTTGTGGTGAGATGAGGTGAGGTGAGGTGAGGTGAAATGGGGTTTAATGTTGCATTCAAGAGTTCAAGATTATTGCACTTATATAGTGATGTGCATGCACATGAGAGAGAGAGAGAGAGAGAGAGAGAGAGAGAGAGAGCGAGAGAGAGAGGGGGGTAACAGGTGATGGGGTGGTCAGGCTCGCTGACTTGGTTGATGCATGTCATTGTATCCCAATTGTTTGGATTGATGCTCATGATGCCAATCACTGAATTGTCTGGTCCGAACTTGACTACTTACAGACCGCGTCATATAGCTGGAATATTGCTGAGTGCCGTGTTAAAAACTAACAACAACAAAAAAGCAAGCTCTGCACAAATCAAATCAGTCATTTTATAGTCCAAACACCACCAATCACAGTTACAGGAGCATATATTTACACATAGATATGACAACAAATGGCATGGTCATAATAACTATAAAATTTTACAGTGCTTTGTTAAAGTATTATTGATAATAGCAAAAAAATTAGACACTTTTTATTATGGATATATTGTACAGACACATATGATTCTTAAATGTTTCTAGATTACACCAGTTACAATAGAAAAGTTGGTTGGTTGGTTTGTTGTTTAACACCGCACTCAGCAGTATTCCAGC